GTAACCTTAAACTTTTTGGTTAAAGGTGAACTGGGATCTTTCCATTGCACTGAAGCACACCTTGATTTGGGTTGGTAGTGGGGCATCCATGATTTGTCACCAGTAACAATCCTGTTAATCCTTCATCTGCATACCATAAGAGACGTCACAAGGACAGACCCATTCGGTTCATTCTTTCAGTCCTTCAGTTCTCTGGGCACCCACCATGGGCACACTTTCCGAAACTTCAAACAATCATGCATTATGCTGTATGCTAAACCATGGGAAAACCCTAGTGCAGTTGCTATACTGTCTTATCATTATCCTCCTGTCACAATCTCAACGGGGCGACCTGGTCAGGCATCATCTGCGACACTCAAACGCCCTTGAGAGAATTTCTCCACCCAGTTGCAAACCACTTTACACAATAAACACTTCTCACCATAAACAGGAAATATTTCTTTAAGAATATCCTTTGTACCGAGTCCTTTTGCCTATAAAAAATGCACAACAGAACGCTGCTCTTTGGTAATACACTCCTCAAGCACGGTCACCATTTTGACTACTGAAACCAGCTTCTGAACATGTGCACATGTGCCTGCTACCTAGACTGTCATGAAAGCTAGACTGCGCTGCTACCTAGTGATACACATAAAAACCTATCACATCCATTACAGCTGGTTTACTTTCATTTGTGACCTATTTACCAACTCTCCCTCATATATAATATATTGACACAGCCATAAAATAAAAAAAAAGGAAGTAATGAAATTAGAGGAGGAAACACAACAACAATGCGAACATAGCAATGAATATATTTTGTCTGTGATAGATATGACTACTCATTTCCATTCAGTCTAGTGTGACAGTAGTGACACAGTAGTGTGTGAAAGATATGTTTTCTCAGATCTTTTTATTTTGAGGTCTGAATTCGTTCCTCTTGCAATGAGGTATATAATACTCAAGTCTTCTTAGCCAAATCCTTCGCAAAAAAGAAAACTTACAGAAAGTGTCTTCAGAGGTTCATTTTTAAATACCAACAAGAATATACAGTCATGTGTACTGAAACTTGTCAAAAACTGGCATATCATGGGTTCAGTGTATGAAAAAATTAATAACCCAAGAGGAATGTGCTAACTGAAGAAAAACTTAAGATATTCATTCATTCACAAACTATTAAGATGTTTGGCACAAGACATGAAGTTTCACTGGGATCACCATTCACATGACACAAGACTAATTAAATTTTGCTCATATAAAAGAATGTATGTGCATGTACTTAACCAATCACATTATACAGCAAAAATTAATTTTGCAACCAGTTGTTGCAAAATGTGCCATTATACAGAGTAAAAGTACTGGTGTAGTGTACTGTAAGTGCGCGGCAAATAACTCGCTTCAGAATTTCAGAATGTTCTGCAAAACTGGTTCATTCACAGCAAGACATGCTTCTATGCAGGAGGGGGTCAAATCTAGCAGTTCTTGTCATATATGACACGTGTCACCTTTTTGAGGTAATCAGTAACCAACTTCTGTTGAAACTTGTTCATTCACAGCAAGACATGCTTCTATGCAGGAGGGGGTCAAATCTAGCAGTTCTTGTCATATATGACACGTGTCACCTTTTTGAGGTAATCAGTAACCAACTTCTGTTGAAGTACAGGAAGTCAGTGAATCATGCAGGGAAAATAGCTCCATGGTCATGTGGAGCTGCCATGGTACTGCGTGCAGCATGTTTCCATATCATTTGTATATTATATTGCATATTATAAGTGAATAATTCACATAAAATTGCTTTTATTTGATTTGTATTTCATATACTATAATGAATTCAGATGCTCCCACAATTTTGGCACAAGTCATATGCAATATTACTTCATCATCCACAATTTATCCCCCCTCCTTCCATAAATCATCACTAAAGACTTTTCTTTCCAAATGCACCATTCAGTAGAGTCCAGTCTCTACCAAATTCTGGACCATGATACCTCCAACCTTAATTTTCTACTTCTTTGAAAGCACTTTCATTTCTTGCCATATTTGTTTATTTTCAGGAGATCCACAATTTGGTTTCCCCATTTATCTTCTATCCACCATATGACACACTTTCATACTAGGCCATTTTCTTCTACGTCATGCCATTAGGATTTCCAGCTTCAATCCCTCTCCTCATTTTGGGTTTTGGTAGTTACTAATATTAGTAAAACAAGCCTATCTGTCATGTAATTTTTTTCGGCGTTTTTGAGTGCTACGGTGCCTGATGGACTTACGTTATGGTCCAAAAGCATTTCAGACTTAACTCGTGTTAAGAAGTTCCAATACTTACTAATAAGAGTGTGAAAATATAAGGTGAGTGTATCTTGTGGTACCCATATTTGCAGCTTCATATTAAGCAGCAATTCAAATTCACCAGTATAGGCAAAAAGAAAAAAAAAAATTTCACCCTGATATTTTTGTATAGGTCAGAAATATTATATTTCATGAAAATCTGTTTGCACCTTGTTAATATTTTATGCATGCAGATAGAGAGTAGAGAGTGACAATTTGCATCACAGCAGATCATCACTATCGTCATGAGTGCCCATCACTGAACTGTATTCTAAGCCTGTTCAGTCCAATTCACATCTTCAGGACCAACATTTTCTTTCATACTGTTACATATCTGAGAGTGGCTACAGACAGGGTTTGGATTGGTGACTTGATAGATCACTTATATGCACAACTCATAACTACAAGTAAATATAACAGCCTCACTGGTTTACACACTCTAAAGATCCCTGTAACTGCAGCACACATAAAGTCTTCTATGTCTTCGCCAGATGTTTCCTGCTAATGGCTTCTAACAGTGTCCTTACCATCTGATGAATATCCCACAGCTGACTCACTGCTCCAACTGTCTTAACTCCCAAGCTGGTGGCTATTTCACACCAACCTTCTACTCTTCTCTTCACTGACCAAGCTCTAAACTTTGCCCTGCTTATAACCCCTTGGCACAGACTGCATAGAAAACACCGTTCTTCATTGTTGTAGTTCACTTGTTGCTTGTTAAACATCTGCTGCCTAGCAGCAGGCACTGTTTCATTGTTTGCTTTGCAGTCATTGCCTAACAGCAGGTCTATATGCCACACCCCAAATAGCTGACAGGTGTACTGCCATGTCTTCTCTTCCAAGGGCTGTGCTTTTGACATCTGTGATCAGTCTCACCTTTCTTCCTTGTGGCTCAGTTCTCACTGTGATTACTCTCCAACTGCTCCATTCTTAAGACTGCTCATCCTGAGCACCTTCCTGATACGCTGTTAGTCAGTCCAGGTGTATAACCATCATCCTTTCTTGATTGGTGTGGGCAAAAGTTCCGAGAGGGGTTGATGCTGCTACATCTATGGCTCTTATGCTGCTAGTATTCTATTCCTTCATTTCAGAGGGGGCCGACCCCTCAACAACGTACAGTCAGTCAGTCATTCACTTCACATAACACAATGGAAATCCCAACTACTCACTTCATGATCTTCAGTCCAAAAGTCTGCCTGATAGTTTTGTTGAATTTCCCCTTACTTTCTAGATGTAGCTGCCATCTCGGGCCTCAGTCTCGTATGCTATTGGTGCGTTTAGGTCACGCCAACATCTCTTCCCAAATGTTCATCCTTTAGGGGCTCCTTAAGTGAGGCCCTTGTACAAGCTCTCGAGTTGGAGATCATGAAGTGACAGTCAGGATTCAATAAACGAATGTCAGGACATTGTGGAGGGGTTGGCTCTTTCCGAAATGAAGGAAGAGATTGTACACAGAGTAAGAGCCAGATATGTAGAAGTACCAACCACTCTAGATAGTTCAACTGCAGCGACCAAAAGAAGGATCTTCATTGCTTGCATCCTGTTGTGGAAAAGGTTGATGGTAGTGCACCGGATCAACTGGCACTCTATGAGGGAACTGCTTGGGACAAGCAGCCCTAAGGAGGGAGCAGTGGGAGAGGTTGGAGAATAAATACTGTGCAAACTGAGAAATGGGGGAGAAAAGTGAGATCAATCAGAGATGTCACAAGCACAGCCCTCCTAAAGAAGAAATGACGGTACACCCGTAGGCTATTCAGGAGGGAGCAATGTGGTGTACAGACCTGTTGCTAGGCAGTGACTCTGCAAACAGCGGCCATTACGAAGTCACACACACAACAGTGGTCTGTGCTGAGATGTTAATAACAATGAAATCTGGAGCTTAGTTCAGTTTAGTCAGTTCTGCATGGGAGGCTGTGAAGAGAGGACCTGAGATTTTAGAAGCCGTTGCCAGGGAATGGCTGATGAAGACAGTAAGCTGAAAAAGGTTTAGCAGGTGCTGTGGTGGTTTGTGAATTGTGGAAATTAGCAGTGGCGCCATAATTACTTGTACTTAGTCATGTGTATAAGTGGGCAATGAATCCATTCACCAATCCAAACCCCATCTACAATCACACACTCTAAATCGTGATAGTATGAATAGAAAATCAAAGGTAGCATCATATTTACTGCTTTTTTTTTAGCTAATAAGTAACATATATCTTAATTACTTTACAATACTTGTATGGCTTGACGAATTACATTTTGCTACAAGTCTTACAAAGATAAATGTCTTATTTAATGATATATTTATTTCACACTGATTGCTTCATATGTTAGTGGTGAGTCTGGTGCTGTTTTCAAGCTTCTACCTTTAACACAACTTATAAATTATTAAAGAGGTTAAGTACACTCTACTGAAGAATGTTAACCCTCTGCACATCACAAGCCAGTTACACTGACTCTATTACTTGCATTAAAACTGCCAGAGTTGAAGAGATTGACTTAATCTTAACCTCTCTATCAACAGGGTGTCAAGTGTTATATACTGATGTTTAGAGGAAAGAACAGGCTCTTTCACTATCTTCATCTGTGGTGTTTGAGGGTAGTCTGCATTCTGTGCAATGGCATTTACTGCCAAGCAGTCTTGGAATTTTTAGCAAGTAGTTATATGGCATGGCTACTCAGTCTAAGGGATATAACAGTAAAGTCTGATGTCTGTACAATATATTTAATGCAAGGTCCAGCTCTGGAAACGTACAAGTCAGACTTAACATAAAGGCAATAACGCTGCCTAAAGGCTAGGTAAGTTCCTATATTTAAAGCACATGTCTTTTGTTCCCTAAATATCTATACTTGGACTAGAAGAGCACAACCCCTTCATTTGAGAGATCTCCATCACTTCAGCTGGTGGTCTGCAAGCCACAAATTTATTACTGCTCTTGTAGACTGAATCTGTGACATGATGGTGAACAAAACTGTTCCAACTTTCCTTAAAACAATATCAGAACTTTCTAAAAAATACATATTTCTTTTTTATAATTAAAAATTCCCTTGCTGAAATGTAGATGCTGAAGCCAACAAATTCATTGCAGTAAAATGAATGTTCTGATTATCTTGATGCTCAGATGAAACTTCTGCTACAGGTTCAACTACATTTCTTGTTTTCATTAGTTCATTTTTGTTGTCAGATAAATGTTGCGTATCTGGACCAGATGGTACTGATATATTCTTGGAACTGTACAATGCCATTGCATTCTTTGGTAATCTCTGAATGACAACTGTTGTAATACCAGCTTTGTCTGGAGGCCCTTCTCTGTTTGACAATAAATGTTCCTCTTCAACATCCAGATTTGCTTCAGCACCTTGTACTAGCAATGTGAATTTGCCTGGAACAAATAATGTCAAACATAAATACAGATGGAAAAGACCCAACATTTGGTAGGAAAAGCTACAAAGAGTGATAAAAAATACACATCATAGAATTTTGGTGGGAAAATTGGAGTATAGCAACTTGAAAAATCAAGAAATGCAAGAGAGGGTAACATAAAGATGAACTGTAGGGAACCAGGTTGAGAGGATGAAAAGTGGATACAAGTAACTGAGGATTATGTCCAATAGTGGTGTATTCATAGTCACCACCATGACAACCTCAAATATCACATGCATTAAATTTGCTTCTACGTTGACCACAGTAAATTTAATGTACGAGTAGTGTAGTTGGTTGAGGCACTATGCTACAAGCTGGAAGGTCGTGGGTTTGATTCCTGATGAGGTCATTGCATTTTTTTTTTCAATTTATCTAATCCTTCCAGCCACACTATGGTCATGAGGCCGACTCTGCCCCTAATAGAAATGGGTACCAGGAATCTTCCTGGAGGGTAAAGGGCAGCTGGCACATAAGGCTGACAACCTTACCACCATCTACGAGCTGAGTGTCTAGAAAATGTGGAAGCCTCAATGTCTCACAATCCTATGGGCCTTCATGGCCTGTTACAGGGATAGCTTTACCTTTTTTACCTTTTACAAGACTGTCTTGGTATCAAAGTCAAGAAGCTAATGCAGCCTTGCAGAAATTTACTGATGCATAATCTTAGTTTTAGGGCCTTAAATATGCTCTTTCATCTGTCAAAGAATCAAGGACCTCAGGTAGTTAAGTCTGCTGAGTAATGTATGTACTCATATATATGTATGTATCCATGAAACAGCTCAAGAACAGATAAAACAAATTACAAATTGATTGCAAATTTTATATTGGATAATTTTACAAAACATTATTGAATCACTTCCACTATCATTTAGACTCGGCAATCTTACATGAAGACCCATTTGTGTTCCTGCGGGCATCTCAAACCTGATTCATCAAATATTGTTTAGATTGAAAAATGTCTGGAACACATGGTATAGAGAAAAATGAAACACACCTTTTGTGTCCAATACATTTTTAACATAAGTCTTACACTTCTTTAGATAAGTGAATAGAAATGAGTGAATACTGTAGATTTGTTATGCTATGCATACATTTCTGAACTTGTGTTTTCAACAATCAATAATGGTCTTCACAACACATGTGAAGCTGGTCCAGATCTCTCATTTATTTGTAGTTTGCATGATTTCAGCCCTGATGCATTTATTATACACAAAATGCAATGATGTAGGAGTTGAGGCTTTGAGAGCAGTGGTTCTAAAAAGATCTGTCTTCCAGAATACAGTACCACGTAGTCCGCTGAAAGTCAATTGATGTTTCAGAGGAACATGTCACCAACATCTCCATGTTGAAGAGTAAGCCAAGCAATTTCCTTGCTGCCTGCTTCATGCTTGTTCTTGCTTGGTTTACTCTTTAATCCTGAAGATGAAGATCTCACTTCTCCTGAAATGTCAGTTGACTTTCAGTGGACTAATTGATTGATTGAGTGGATTGATTTAAATCAATCAATAAAAATATCTGTTGCATTGAAGGTTGAGAATATTAATTGTTAGTCCACTGAAGTCAACTGACAATATTTTCATTGACAGATTTAAAATCAATAAAAATATTTGTTGTGATGACAGCTGAAAATGTTAATTGCTAATTGTAATTCACACAACAGGATGAAAACAATAAAAATATTTCAGTGGACTACATGACATTATATCGCAGAAGACAGAACTCAAGCGCAATGATGCATTTAAACTATATTTTTCGGTGTTTTTGCTTAAAATCATCAGTTTTGCACTATTCATAAGATACCATCAAAAGGTAACACTCATGAATTGAAAATCTAGAGACAATAACACAGCAAACACACAGAATTGTCATGGTATGAATACACATACTAACGTGTTTGTAAATTAAGGCTAACATACAAATAAAATGTTTTATCTCCTAACCTGAGTCCACTGTGGATGGACTAATCCCATTTCCACCATCTTGCAAGTCAATGTTGGCTTCTGATTTTGCATTCTCAGACTCAGACTTAGACCTCTCATGCATCTTAATATGTTTGTAGCAAGCCGACATCTCCACAAAACCTAACACAAGTAATAATTACAATTATATACTATTCTGTTTAGAATAGTAATTTTCAAAAGTCACATTATGATGGAGGCATGTGGTGGGCTTGTACAGTATCCTTTGCATCCCTCACAAACAGAGAGAGGCAGGGTCATGTTAGAAACCACAGGCCACTGGCAGAAGGATCTGTCTGACAAATTACTTTATAAACCCTTACACATTAATTTCGTTTGTGAATGTGATTATGTAATCTCTTCAATTTTAATATCACATGAAGATGTTAATTATTACACTGTAACCCTCATTTAGTGTTCACTTAATGCCCTGCATCATTTAATATTCACTGGCCCCAAGTCAACAATCTCAGTGTTAAATAAATTTCACTTTAGGTTTCCCTCAGTTTAGTGTTCAAATTCACTGGCACTAGAAGAAAGCTTAAATAGCGATTTTAATATATGATAAATATACATGTTTAGACGTGGTAGTTAACAGTATGAAATCCCCATTTAAGATTACCTTTTGCAGCAATATAAACTGAGGAAAATGTTCAGTGAAGGAAATTTAGCAATGAAATTACTCACTTGTGATCATTTAAACTGAACATCAAATGAAGAAAGACCTTAATCCAAAAAAACATTACAAGGGAATTCCACTCTATTTTGATATCAGGCATGCCGCTAAGGAAGTGGTGATACACACTCATCTAAAAACATAAGTAACACGCTTGTAACAATTTGGCTTCTCTGACTTTCCACTCATCAACATTGGCACTTTTTCATATCCATCCATATTTGCAAATACATACAAGAACACTAATTGTATCTTTATTACTACTGACAGCTTTCACCTATGAAAGCATAGGTCTTACCTGGGAATAGGTTGAAAAACAATACATATCCATCTGCATTAAATATATCCTTTTTTGAATTGAATTTATTTACATTCTATAAATCCTAAGCAGGTTAGTACCTTTGGATACAGAACAAGTCAAAAGGTTACATACATAAGTACAGGCAATTTTAGCTTAAAAATTAATATAACTTAATTTTACATCATTCTCTATTTACATTGAAGTATTCGTCTAAAGAGTAGAAGGAATGAGCAAGTAGATAATTCTCTCTGATTTAAACTTTTTAGTATTATTGCCCAAGTTTTTAATACTTTGTGGCAGATTGTTGAACACTTTTATGCCAGTAAAGTAGACTCCTTTTTGATATACTGATAAAGTTGATGAGGGTAGGTGGAAGTTATATTTTTGTCTAGTATTCATGTTATAGACATCAGAATTTAATTTGAATTTATCTTTGTTGTAAACAACAAATAGGAGAAGCGATAATATGTATTGCGATTGAAGAGGTAGAATTTTTAATTTCTTAAATAATTCTCTACATGAATCTCTACTTCTACATCCTGTAATGATTCTAATTATATTCTTTTGTATTTTAAAAATTATTACACTATGTGAAGAGTTCCCCCAAAATATTAATCCATAGTTCATAATAGAATGAAAGTAGGCATGGTAAACCATCTTCAATGTTTCCTGTGACATAAAAGGCTTAACTGATCTCATCGCATAGCAAGCTGCATTTAATTTAGGTATAATTTGTTCAATATGTATTTTCCAAGACAGTGTACTGTCTACATGTATTCCAAGGAATTTTGTATCAAGTACTTTACAGATTAATTTGTTGGCATAACTGATGTCCAGATCAATTTGGTGGTTGTTTTTAGTTGTGAATGATATGTAATGGGTTTTATCAAAATTTAATGAGAGTAAATTGGCTTCGAACCATCTGTTTAAGGCTTCAAATACAATATTTATGTCATTTTTAAAGTTTTCAAATTTAGAGTTCTTAAATATTATACTAGTGTACTAGTGGTACTCACTCAGAAGTGATGGAAGCACTCCTGTTTCCCAGGCACCTACTTCCTTTTCAATTACACTTCCAGATGCCCTGCATATTTTCTGAACTGATCAAGCCACCAAACCAAAAGCATGAATTCAGTGTTCAATTTTAAGGCTATTTCATCAGTCTTCTGTCTCAACATTGGACCTTGAATTGGTATATATATGCCCATTTCTGACTAAAGCACTCTTCTCATATTTAAAAGTTTTTAACTTTTCTCTGCCTTGCTGAGAAAGTGCACAATGCTGAATATTTTTGTTCACCATACTTTTATTTAATGTCAACACTGATGTGCTTAAGATATTCCTTTTTAATGACCTCCAGTTTCTCAGAAACTGATAACATTTTGTATTTTATGTCTGTTTTTGTATACATGCATACTGCTATGTATAATACACAAGTTTGTTTACTTTCATGCAACTTCATGAAATTCAGCAGACATGTTCACCCTGAACAGCTAGATAGATGGACAAGGTCAGAAGGTCACTGCTAATGCCACCCAACTTCTACCACTCACCATGCATTACTGAATGCTGTTAACCCTTTCACGGGGTCATTTAAATTCCGCTGCCGTCTCTCCGGCGGTAATATATTCAGCCAGCCATTTAAATTTTGCTCGAAAATGATTTATTCATCATTGTTCTTAAATTATATGAGATAGGAACATGAAACTTTCACTAAAATGATCTTAAAAGGTGGTTTTATAACCTTACCTTATAATATGAGCGCCCTGTATCTCGGCAATGGAAGCAGGTTGTTTAGTATTTGAGCAGTGAATGGTACGCCTTGAAGCATGAAACTTTCACTAAAATGATCTTAAAAGACGGTTTTTATAACCTTACCTTATAATATGAGCGCCCTGTATCTCGGTAATGGAGGCAGTTGGTTTAGTAGAAGGAAGGCCTTGAAGCATTCGTATAACCCAACGGTGCCCCACGTTCACCATTCTCCGCTCCAATATTGTGTATTTTTTTTGGCCCTTTTTTTTAACCACACATATGTGCGGCCTTGCCTTCTTACCCGTGAGGGGTATAATTCAAGGAAACCTCTTTCCGTGACCCGTTTAGTTGCCAGGTCAGCTGTAGTAAATTCAACGTTACGAGTTATCATAACAAGGGGTTGTTGCTATGCCTTTGATATTCCATCCATTTTGGCAGCAGTAGATGTCGTAGGGGTGACCACAGAATTCATGAAGTTATTCTAAGAACTGGCTGGTATGTAGTGCACGAAAGCAGAGCTTAGCTGGCTCAAAAAAAATATTTATGGTCATCCCTCGAAACGACCACCAAGGTCAGTATGATAAAATGGCGTCAACTGGAGCGATAATACATGAAGGAATGAGTTCTTTTCCCCCCCCACACACACCAGTATCATCATAGGGGGTGACCACAGTGTTCTGCCTTAATTCGTGACATTTTTCCAAGAACTCGCTGCTATATACTGTGCGAAATCATTCGATCTTGCAAGAATAAATTTTTGGACATCCCTCTTCTAAGAATTCCAATTGAGTGTGTTAGTGTGGCCAGCTCAGGGCAATATGATATTATAAACACAGCACATATCACATCTCTGCTGTTTATAACTTCATAGGAAAGAAAACACGCCATCCATAACAGTTTGAATGACGAAACCTCTCCCAAGAGCAACAGGAATTTTGCTGCAAGACAGGCATATGTAATGATGACTTAGCGCAGAAAAACTCGTGCCTCATTATATACTGTCCTTCTGACAACAGGCCAACGAAAAATCTAACAATCTACAGCAAAACCATCAATTATTATGGGCATTATAACATAGGTGTGCAGCTGGACGAAACATAGACATCGAACCCCCGCAGATGATTTAAATACCTGACGAAACATACACGTCAAACCACGCTGAACGGTTAAGCACTGCAGTATGTTTATTCTATGTTAGCATCCAGTCTTGTCAGTCATTTCTGTATATATGTATATAATGCAACAAAATGCATGTCTTTAAAATTTATCTTCTTAGGCAGGATATCTTTTTATGCAGGAAATGTTTTAGGCGGGATAGAAATACATTATTTCGGAACTCAGTGATTTGGGCTTTTTATGTGGGAAACCATTTAAAATGAGATCTTCTGAATCAGGGTCCACTATATATGTATTACATTTCATTTATCCATGGGCAACATGACTCCATACAGAGTACACTGAATAGTGACATACGATGCATGACATATGTTAAACAGCATTGAGAGATTAAAATGAGCTTCATATCGTACCTGCATGAAATGTAAAACAGCCTAATCATTTCCCCACCCCTCCCACTATGTTTGTCACAATGAAAATATGAGCTGAGAACAGATAACAATGCCAGTGCACATTACCTTTCCTGCAATACTTGCATTGGTAAGGTTTCAGACCCCAGTGCCGGTTCATGTGTTCATTGAGGGATTGCTGTCGAGTGAAAGTTTTTCCACATTCTTCACACACAAAAGGCCGTTCACCTGTGTGTACCCGCTTGTGACGTTCCATGTCACCTACACAAAGCACACAGTGGAAGAAGATTCATTCTACTACCACAGATTTACAGATTCAATCATGTAAGATTTGAGGCTATCATGGCGGTGACTATGAAGAAAGCAGTCTTCTGGGATTTGGCACCGTGTATATGTGGTGCTAACACCACATATACACTGCTTTCTTCAGATTCAATCATCTTTGAACATTTATATTCATTACCTTTTGTAAGGAATTTAAATTGACAAAGTGTACACTGGTACTTTCGTAGTCCGGCATGTCGTTGTTCATGAAGCCGTAGCTGAGATTTCTGTCTGAATGATCTACCACACTGGTTACACAAATGTGCCCGTTGATTTAGATGCATGGCCATGTGAGACTGGAGTATGCTGGTTTGTGAAAAAGCCTTCAGGCATACAGAACATCTGTAACATTAAGTGTAAAAAGCATTATTAGCAAGAATGAATCAAGAACAAAAACATGGGTGAGGTATCTCAAATGCATATATTATTTTGGTCTCAAAACTGGAAAGAAAAGTTTCCATTTTCATTTACTTTACATGTTTCTCTGTTTCTTTGCTCATTGAATGCCGCCTTATCAACTAAACAAATTATATAGAATTGAGAACAGAATATAAAATAGAGATTTTAGTAACAAACTTCTGAAAGAAGAAAAACTTGGCTAAACAGTAGTGCCAGTAAAGAGAGAAAGTGTAATTCCGTTCAGTTAAGGTAAATGTACTTACTGGTATGGTCTCTCTCCAGTGTGCCGTCGCATATGAACTTTAAGAGACTTCTTTTCTGTAAAGCGCGATCCACACTGAGTACACTGCCAAGGTTTCTCACCACTGTGTGATTTGTAATGACGCTTTAAATTGCCTTTTGTGCTGAAGCTTACATCACAACTAGGGCATGAGTATGGCCTTTCACCACTATGTCGACGGCGGTGAACTAAAAATTATATAAATAATTTTATTCAACAAGGGCTCTATTTTATCTTGTCTTTAATTCATGCGTGTATGTTGGTGCAGTTGAACCTAGCAACATGATTTATTAAAGAAATATATGGTATTTGGTATATTTAATTATGCATGATACCAATAACATTTACATGCTGTAGCATTATGTATGATATTTATCAACAAAATTTACATACTGTTACATTAAGTGTGACATTTACCAATAAGATTTCCTCTGGAGGAGAACCGAGCTTGGCAGTCAATGCAGGTGTAGGGCTTGGTATGTGTCCAGGAGTGAGCTGTTCACACATTTACATTACATTAAAAACAAAATTAACAGCTACAGATCCAAATTTGCCAAAATATATGTGGTGCTATCCAAAAGTTCCCGAAATATATTGTAATGCGTTGCGTTACTGAAGACGCTGTTCGGATTGTTAATTGGTTTATTTAACAACCTACAAATATTGGCTACAATTAATTATAACAATGTTACGGGTTTCCACACTTTACAAGCCCTACAACAAAATCTCTTAACACTATCTTCAAGAGTCTTCACGTATTAATAACGCGGGAGCTACAAGGTGTGGCAATAAAGAAACCGGATTCATGCTCTAACCCTTTATTAAAAAAAAATCAGACAGTCGAAATGTTATCCCCTTCAATGTAGTCCCCTCCCCGATCCCTACACCGCTCCATGCGAATTTTCCACTGTTGGAAGCAGTGCTGCAGGTCATCTTGTGTTATGCTCTTCAAGAGTTGCGTCGCTTTTGCTTTCACTGCATCCACGGACTCGAACCT